ACAGCGTGTACATGCAACGCCCTCGACACGCGCTTCGCCCTCATGATCGAGCCAAACCTGGAGATGACGCGAGAGAAGGTGACAATGTGGAATGCGCAGTGGACAAAGCAGATGACTACACGATGGCATGCTTGGTGGTCGAAGGATTTTGATGATTGGATTTTTTTGACATCTTGATTGTTAATAAGTGTAATTATCGTTTTTTGGGAATTTTTTACTTGTCGAAGGACACATGCATGGATTTCGTTTGGATTTCTCACCGAGAAAATTATTCTGTGCAGGTAGAACTGGATCTCTTGTTTTTCTCGGCAGGTAAAAGCAAAGAGAATTCGAATTAACATTTGACGCAAAGATTGCATGTGACGTATTATTGTAAGCTTTGAAAAACGTGACAACGTAATGATAAACATCTCAGTATTCGAGACCTAGAAAATGGACTGTTTTTGCTTTTTGACAGCGAAGTCATTGCATCCGGACAAGGCCTTGGCATCACTTTGTACGGTCCGTCCAAAATGAAAGCAATGCCAACCTTCATGGGTTGTCAAGAAATGCCGATTTCAACACGAGTACTTGCGCCACATCGGAACTTTACGCCACACCGCATCGTCGCCACTGGAATATGCATTGTCGTGACAATGCCAGCTTGCGCGGCGCTACATTGCAACGACCACTTGGCCATTGCGATAATTCATTTCCCTTCGTACACCGATGCAATACAATAGCAGCACAGCGCTGTTATGCAGCACAGACGGGCAATTCAACCAGCCCAGATAGACGTTTGGGATCGTGCGAGATCACGTGCATAGAGATCCGCTTCCCGCACCAAATAACTTCGGTGGCGAAGAACTCGCACTTGCTTGGGTTGAGTTTGAGCCCAAACATGACACACTGGGAAAGCAACCACCCCCAGCAATTTCAAGAGTTCAGCTTCGTCGGATGCGCTTCCCAAGGTAGCCAGGCTTCAATGCCATGGCCGTACTTCTCCCCGTAAATTTCCTGGGCCGTGGCTTGACAGAACGCCACAGCGTCCGACTGGTTGGACTCGACCATCTCATCAACACCCATAAAGGTGTTCACTCCCCGATAGTCGGGATGCGGTGGCAGTTGCCAAAAGCCTTTGAACCAGTCGACAGCAAAGAAACAGCTCTTCCCGACGAGCCTTGCCATGGCCACTTCTAACACAGGCATAGGCCAATTCATCGGCTCCGTCATGGAGTTTGGGCCCCGCGTGTCCACAGTCATGCGGAATGTCCCGTCCTTCTTGGGAACAATGCGAGGGGGAGAGGACCACCGCGATCGATGGGTACGACGAGCCGACCCAGCTTCGACAATTTCGGCCAGGTGGCTGCGCAAGTAGTCTGTTTGCAAAGGAGAATAGCGCCGTGCCTTGCACGTGGTTGGGGCGGCATCTGGCTTGGACCGAACCTGCAGGGGGTCGACGGCAACGGTCGGATCGTCCTGGAACTGCACCCGGAAGACATCTTCGAATCCCAGGAGCAGGTCACGCAACCGAATAGCACCGGATTCAGACAATCCTTTGCCTTGTGCTTCCTGAACCCTCTGCTCCAGGATGCGGCGCACTGCGAGCTTGGGGTTGCCATCGATGGTCGGGACGTCGTCATCCTCGAAATCATCGAGGTCTCCTGATTCAGCCAACATCTGCGCGTAACGTGCCTTCAAAGCGCGCGACGGAGATGAGTCACCCCCGAGGTCTAGAACCGAGAGGTCACCCGAATTGTAGGCGTCCTGCGTTACGGAAGCTGTCTTGAGGAGGTCTTCGGTCGAATTCCCTAGTGCCTCCATAACAGGACGGCCGACAGTAATGTTCAATCCCGAGTCGGTTGTGTCCACCCAAGCGCTCACGTTCTTCAAAGCCAACGGCGCCTCCCCCGTCAAGAGAACCAACTCGGACAGGAGCACGTGCTTGGACAGGGACCACAAACCACCGCCAAAACCCTCCATGACCTGAGGAGTGGGCAATTCTTTCGCCTGAAGGTCAACTTTCGATGCAGGCGATGAGGCCGATAAGACCATTGGAGAGAAGCATCCCGGGATTACTTCCCGAGTCGATCAGCGTTGAGATGGGCACCTCTAGCGCGACT